AAAACAACAGAAATCCACCCCAGCGACCCACCACACTACACAACCCACGCAATCATCTCTAGATTCTCATGCCTGGGTATTTGTTTACGGAGCCCTTTGGGTTTAGTGAGTTATGTGTTGGACTGATAACCACAAGATCAGCAGTTCAAAACCACTTGTCCCTCCTTGGAGAAAGTGGAACTGGTGATCTACTCTGTTTTAGAGAGTCACTTTGAGATTTAATAGACTTAATGGCAATAAATTCTTATAGATCCTTGTTTTAGCTGGTAGTTGAAAGACCTGGCTTTTCTGCTTTTTCTTTTTGCCAGAAGATGGCACTGCAAGTTATCAGATTTGGCTTTGTCGTTCTCATTCCAGGCTACTAAAAGAGATGTGTGTTCAACATTCTTCCCATTCCAGGTTAACCTCCTGTGACCTCTCCAACTCCCTAGTTATTCAGTAGGACTTACAGTTTCTGAATGCACAAAACTCTAGCTCTATTCTCTTTTGTACAGTAAAGCAACATGCGAATCTAAGCAAATTCCTTTCTGTTAGTGGTCTGAAGCAGCTAGTCAGAAACATTCTTAGATAATTTTTAGGCTCCTATCATAATTTAATGAATACGAAAACTGCTTTTGTTTCTCTAGAAGGCATAATAGTGATATATACCTACCCTTTGACTCAATAATTTCACTTCTAGAAAAGGTTAAAGACGTATATGTGTTTGTATATAGCCAGAAAAAATCCCTAACAATTAAAAAAAATTATAACATATCTAAATGATAGAATCTCTGGGGCCATTTAAAACAATGATCAAACTGTTAATAGAATTACCATCTACCCCATGGAGATTATTTATAATATTCCCCAATAATATGTTAATGTTGACTATAAGGTGGATCAGAGATATTTGAAAACTACAAATGTATCGATGGATTTTGAAACCACAGGTAATCATATACCCTAATCTAACAACAATTAGTTCTTATGGTGTGACCTTATCAATACTAGCCTTCTGGAAGAGATCACTGCAGATACAGGTGCTATAGAAAAGAAGAATGGTGAAGAAATCATGTGGTGTTCAGCTAAGGGCAAAAAATAGTGTCTTGAATCTTAAATGTTTGTCTTCAAACAAACAGCCATCTAACTGAGGTGACATGGAAGAAGCATCCCAGCTTCTGTGATCCAAGGATTGTAAAGAATAAAATCCAAGATTGGAGGAAGGAATTGTATTAGAGCTTAAATTCTGAGCACCCATTTTGCAGAAGGCTAAGGAAGACAGTGAAGCCCAAAATCCACTTACAGAGTCCCTGTATGGATTAAACCTCCAGAGAATCCCCTTGAACATTTACAAGGGATGTGAATAGCCTTGCTATCCGACAAAGTGCATTGGAAATTGAATTAATGTAGATATAGTTAGGTTAATATCTTATCACTTATAGATTATAGATAAGTTAATATCTATATTAAGTTAATATAATTAACTTATAGATAAATTAATATCTTGTTTGTTTTCCTTTTTTACTCATTTTTAATTTGTTCTAGTTATTATTTTCTGCTTTCTTTTGGATTGAGGGGTTTGGGGGTTTTGTCGTTTTATTTTGTTTGTTCTGTTTTTAATGATTTTCTTTATACGAAGTCCAGGATAGGTAAATCTCTAGATATATTAACTAGATTAACATCTTATTAATTCCTTATACAACTCTCATATGCAAATGATGTAATTGAAAATACCATGACTTGGGTCAGGCACACCTGAGTCCTCAAAGTGACATCCTTGCTCTTCAGTACCTTAAAGAGGTTGTGTGCAGCAGATTTTCCCAATGCAATGTGTTGTTTGATTTCTTGATTGCTGCTCTATGAGCATTGACTGTAGACCCAAACAAGATGAAATATTTGATAAATTCAGGATTTTCTCCGTTTATCATGATGTTATCTGTGATAGTTAGGTTTTCTGTGCCAATTAGGCTACCATAGGAACATGTGGGTGGAGATTAATCAGGTCACTGAGATAAATGGCCCTTTAAGGCTGGCTTCATTCTCTGTCCCTGCTGATCAGACTAGTGCTGTCTGAGTTAGTTGCTCTGCTTCAACCATGTGATGTGCTCCCTGTAGGCTGTGCAGTGCCCACTCCACCCTAGCCCAGGCAACCTGTGAACCGCAGTGGACTGCGCTGCTGTGTTGTGCTGTGCTACTCCACTCCAAGACACCACCCCACCCTGCCATGTCTGCTGCCTTTGGGCTGATGCTGAACTCCAGCCCGTCATTTTGCATTGCTACATCTTGAGGTTCTGCCAAGGCCTGCTTTGCCACGCTGAGTTACTGGCCTCTGCTACACCTTACCTCTTCAACCTCCTGTTGTCTGCTTCCTTGGCCTTGAGCCAGTGGCCTTATGAGTTAGAAAGACCTTCAGTATATTAACTATCCCACAGAAGTAAGCTGAACTGAGCTCTCAGTAATGTTGTATGAGCTAATTTGCTGTTGTAGTCCTTTTCGCTATATAAACCTACTATATATATACAGAGAGACAGAGAGAGAGAATCATAAGTGTCCTGGTTTTGTTTCTCTAAAGAACCCTGCTTAACAACATTATCTATTGGTCGTTGTAAAAAATCTTGATTTTATGTTGAGTTGCAATCCAGACTGAAGCCTGCAGTTCTTGATCTTCATCAGCAGGTGCTTCAATCCCTCCTTGCTTTTAGCAAGCAAGGTTGTGTGATCTGCATATCAAAGGTTGTTAATAAGCTTTCCTCCCATTCTGATGCTACATTCTTCCTCATATAGTATATCTTTTCTGATTATTTGTTGATCGTGCAGATTAGATTAGTGTGGTGAAAGGATAAATCCCTAACATACACCTTTCCTACAGCACTTCCGTGTTCAATTCAAAAGGCTATTTCTTAGTCTATGTACAGGTTCCCAATGAGCACAATGAAGTGTTCTGGAATTCCCATTCTTCTCAAGACTATCCAGAGCTTGTTATGATAAACACATTTGCATTTGCTTAGTTAATAAAACACAAACATCTTTCTTGTGTTCTCTGTTTTCAGTCAAGATCCATCTGATGTTGGCATTAATAGCCCTCCATGACACAACCTCTTCTGAATCTAGCTTGACCAGAACCTTGTTAGTCCCGGCCTTAAGAGCTAAGGCCGTCAGTCCTGGCCCAGAGAAGCTAACAGAAAGGCGTCAGTCTGGCCCAGCTAGTCGTCCAAACACCATCAGTCAAAGCCTAGAGAGCCAACCAGAAGTGGAGCAGTCACAGCCCAGATTGCCCACCAGAACCCAGTCAGTCCCAAGCAAGAGAGCTGACCAGGACCCAGACAGCCCTGGCCCAGAGAGTCAACCAGAACACCATCAGTTCCAGCCCTGAAAGCTGACCAGAACTTGGTCAGTCAGTCCCCTGTTGGGATTCAGTGCCTGCCAGTCACTCCCTCAGATGCTTTGGGCCACTGTCAGGGCTTTGGGCCCTTGCCCTCTGCTCCCCACCTTCCCAGGCACTCTGGGTCGCTGCCTGGACCCCCGTTGGGTTTTGCAGACTGCCAGCCATTCTCCCTAAGTGCTCTGGCCCACCTCCGGGGCTTTGCTGGGCTCCTCGTTGAGATAGTTTATTGTGCC